TCATCGTATAGGAGGGTTAGAAACCAAAGATTTTATTAGAGGATGACCAAATCTTGCTAAAATAACCTGTAAAATGAGATGTACAAAAGAACTTGCAAACACTTGTGCACGTGCTTAACTTGACTAGTTTGAGTAGTCCCACCGATTTTAAGACCTGCATAAGTGTTTGCAGGATCTGGGCCTTAAAAGGTATAATGAACAACCATGAGAGGAAGGATGATCCAGTGGTAGGGCACGACTAGCTTCACACTTCACACCTTGTTTCAAGTCTCTGCTGTGCCCCAAATTTCTGTGTGACTGTCATTTAGGCCCAGATTCTCCAAGGTATTGAGGCTCCTCATTTCCATTCAGTGAAAATTAGTAGCCTCAGTATCTGATGAACCCTGTCCTGGGCCTTCACTGAATCACATTGGCTCCTGGTGCATGTACTTAAGTGTAGTTCTGATTGTTTTCAGCTAGGAACTTGAAATATCTACTCTCAAGGGCTGATGGAGGCTCATGACATTGTCAACATGAAACCCACACACTTAGCGATGGGAGGTGAGTGTCAAATGTCACACGAGCAAGGAATCTCAACAAACTTTTTGGTTACGGGGGGGGGGGGGTCGCTGAAGCTCTGTGTCGTCTTATCCTCTCTATAGTAGCAGTCAAGTTTAACCTATATTGGCTTTTGCAATTAGGTATTTCTTTCAATATACTGTAATTTCCTTATGCTTATTTACTCATAATTGAATGCATTGGACAACGTTCATTTCTCTTAGATGGCTGTCTTGCAATTCTGACAGGCCTTAGTGATCTCCCGTTTGGGAGATAGAAAAGATTTTCTATATGGCCATCTAATAAAATCACTATTTCCTAGTGTATATTTTTGTTAAACCTTCCTTTTTAGATGCCATGATCACACCTTTATTCTGGCAGAGAAAATTCTCAGGATCATTTCCTGATCAACCTCAGCGAATAATTATTTAAAGTTTTGTTTTTTGTGTTTTTTGTTTTTTGGTGTGCAGTTCCAAACATCTCTACCACGGGGCTGAATCACTGTTGATTTATGCTACGTAGAGATTTAGTGTGCAAATACTGTCCTGTACTGGCCATGACCAGCTAACACATTTCCAAACACAACTTGCTATATCTACACTAGGTGCAAATCCCTGTTTAAAATTCTTAGTTAAAACATGACCTTTTCCCCCCCACAAGTCGAGACATAGGCAAAAGGGTCTATCATTTCTATCCATACGCAAACAGTATGTGTCAGTCCTCAGTAACCAGTATAGGCAGTAGCACCACTTTCTATACACTCAAGTAAACGTACATTTTGCATGTGCATTGTGTTGGCCAAATCTCCCTGCTCCCTGATTGTTCTCCCTTGTTTGAGTTTCAGGCCTAAGTACCCAAAAATATCTGGGAAGATAAAAGGGAAGAAGTTATTGAGTTGCAAAATTGCTCTTTAATCTTCCATTGCAGATTTTTTTTATAATAGCACCTACAGTCCCTAATTAGGATTGCGGGTCCATTGTTTTAGTCACATTACAAATGTTGTAGTAGACATGGTCCCTGCACGGAAGAATATAGGATCTAAGAAAATAGGTAACAAATCTATCCTACAAGATAATACTGATTGTGAAAGGGCTTATCTTTAGAAAAATAACAGCCCTGTTTAAGGCTGAGAAGAGGAAAGGATGGAGCAGAGAAATTAAATTTGAATACAGTGACTGGCCTAGCATTAGATATCAAGAGACCCAGATCCTGAGAGGTATTTAGGCTACTACCTTGCTTTAATTTCAATGGAATTTAGGAGCCTAAATACCTTTGAGGATCTGAGCCAGAAAACCTTCATCTTAGGGTCATAGCATGACTTGCAAAGGCCTGTTGCTCTTTTTGAGTGGAAAGCAATGGAAATATTTACGCAAACTTTTTCAAACCTGGAAGAAGGTTAAAGTTCTGATTGGGTCTTATATTTTCTATTTCATCTATCTCTAATGGTTACCTAAGTGGTGGAGAGAGAGATTTTGAAAGAGGGGAGATATAGGCTTAATATAACTCTCACTGTATGCTTTTTTAAAAAACATTTGTTGGAGTTCCAGAACATTTGTTCCAACGCTGTTCCTCTATCCCACAGAGTACATTGCAACTGTTTCACAATTCCCCCCTGTTTATGGTGTGAATCATCTCCAGAATAAGATTTCTGGATTGTCACTGTGTGTCGCTCTGAAGCCTAGAATGTCTGAATCCATGTGAAGCGATGGAAACAGCTAAAAGGAAGGGTGAGAGATCTTTTTGTGCAGAATATCCCCAGGTTCAATCATTGCTGGGATTTGCAGTCTGTCACTGTCCAAGTTTTAAGTTCTCAGCCATTTTGACTTCATGAATTATACCTGTGTGACAACAATGTACATATCTATGCCATTGTACTAAGAGAGGTAGCTCAACTAATTACCACCCTTTCTATACAGCTAATTTTCATGCAACTATTTAATTGGTTGTATGAGAGAGATTACGTAGATGATAGATTACTGGCTTAGTTGCCACACCCTTCCAACAACATGGGCTTTCACTAATTTTTACTAATGCTCGTGCTAGGAATGTCCCAATAAAGTCTATTAAACAAACAGTCATAAATAAGGGAGGTCTACCTCCAGTCTCTACAATTTTGGGTGTGGAAGTTTGTTTTCTTTCATTTATCTCTACTTTCCTAAATACGTAGCACTGCAAAAGACACGGGGAGAGTTATTTTAAAATATCAGTTTATTTAAAACTGAACAGCCTTAAATGGAGCTGAATCAAATTGTATGGAAAACTCACATTCATGCAAGTCAAATTACTAACCCCAATGATTTTATAATTGACGATGTTGCGAACTTCACTTTAACCCTGATTTTAAAGAGTAGCAAGCTCTCAATCCTCAGAATATTCAACTGTTTGCATGCGCAGAACTTGCACCCCTGCTGCCCTGAAACATCCTTTCAGAGGAGTAGTTTGGTAGTTAACTGGTCCAGTTTAGGCTTTCAAGTTTAACACTCAGTTCAGATAAAAGTGAAAATTCACACTTCTTACCGCTTTTGTTTCAGATTGTCTGGCTGGAGATTCCAGTAGAAAAAAGTGCATTAGTTTACATTGGGAAGGCTACCACCACCAGTAGGGTTAAAAATGTCATTTTTTTTTTTTTTAAAGAAAGCTTAGATCCCAGAGAATACAGCTTAAAACACAGAGAATACAAAAAGACCATATGTCCTGACCCCTGTTGTCCCTGCACATAAGGAAGAGTTCTTTTAAACCTTAAGATGTGTATTATTTCAAAGACTTTTTTTCTGTATTTGAAGGTTCCTTAGTCCATTACCTGGTCTTAAGGTGACAAATATCTGGATAATAGTACTGAAGTCAGCATCTGAAAGAAAAGGTTTCAACTTGCTAGGCTGGCACAAATATGGGGAAAAAAGCACATATGCAAATTATTAAATGGGGTTTTGAATCAGAGCCATTATTAGCATCACAAAACATTGGGTTTCATTTTAACTAAATAATGGAATTAATAAAAACAGTGTTCTGGGGGGAAAAAAGACCCGGATCTTGCACTGTGATTTCCACATGCACAGCACTGGATTCTAAGTCAGTGACACAGTTTGCTTGAGCAGATCACAGTGCAGGATCGGGGCCATATTTAGGAGTTGTTTGTTTATTTAGCGTCAAAAAGTTTGTGGGGAGCTATACAGGCCTATGAAAAGACTGGTCTCTATTCCAACAGCTTAAAACTTGAAGCCACGATCCTACAAAAATGTACATATCACATGTACTTAACTTTACCCCATGTGAATAGTTCCTTTAGATTTTCCGGGGACTACTTTCCAATAAAGCTAAGCACACTTTGTCTTTCCAGGATCATGGCCTAATCAGACCACTTACAGACAAAGAGGGTGGGGTGTAAGGATGGATAGATTTGCAAGATTGCCCTCCTGTTCCTACTCTTTATTACAGTCCACACCAGTACATTGGTAGGGTGATTTTTCAGAGGTGCTGGGGCAACCTTAGCTTCCATTGACTTTTGTGGGAGCATTGGCAAGGGGCACTCAGCACCTCAAAAGTTCATGTCAACAATGTGTTCTGGTACAGGCGGCCTGTGTGCGTGTTTAAACAAACAGAAATCTTCAGGTGCCAAAGGAGAAGTTGCACACAGGGGTGCTGGAACAATTATTATAGTAGGGGTGCTGACGATGGAAACCATGTATTTGATGTTTGTTATTACCAGGGCTTAAATTCGTAATGATTATTTCCTGGAGCCCTCTCTCATCCAGGGGGGAGCGAGTTCCCTGGGGTTCAGGGCTTCAGCCCCAGGGGGCAGGGAGAGGGAGGTGTGCTGGGGCTCAGGGCTGCAGCCCTGGCACGGCATCTCCCCTGGGGCTGATGCCCTGAGTCCCAGCGTGACACCTCCCACAGGTTTGAAAATATTTATGGGTGCTCCATTCCCGTGGGCTCTGGCTGAATTTAAGCCCTGGTTATTACTACTTCAAGCCAGGGGGTGCAGTAGCACCCCTAATTCCAGCCCCACTGGTTGCACATGAGGATCCCATGCACCCTTTGTGACCCAAGGGGTTAAACAATGCAGCGCTGGGCTGGCTCAGTGAACTTGTGCTTTTGGTGAGCAACAGACAGACATGCACAGGAAAGCGTGTGAGGAATTGCAGTTTGTGCAATAGCAAGAGGAGCTCTATTCTTACCCAGCTGGTAGGCTCAGGCTTGTGTGCGTTTCGACGTCTGTGTGGCAATGCTGGTGTTGGGGGAAGGGGCGTCACCATCTGTTCTTAATTCCCTGGTCATTGGATTAGTAGCCCTTAGTGATGAGATCAGCAGGATCAGCTTTCCCGATGGGGCACTGCACTCGCTTCAGCTGCAGGCTCTTCCCATCTGGGCTGTCTCTCTGGAGGGGAGAGACAGAAAGAGGAATCTGAGGCATGAAGTAAATTAGCCTTTGAAGGAGCAACAAAACCAGGTCGGCAAAGGGCAGGAGGGTTTTCTTCTGGGGGGGGGGAGTGACGGCACTTTTTCTCCGGGAACAGTTGTGAAGTGTTTCCTGGCTGTGTTGGGTTGCTTCGATTTTGTGTTACAAGCTTGTATCCTACTGATTAAGGAAGTATCCCCCCCCGCCCTCCCCTCTTTCCTCTGGCTTGCCTGTTTGGAGCCCAGCACACACCACACAGATGTGGCTTTCTCACACTTCGTTAAGCAGCCTTCAACTATATCTTTGCTTTTAAACCTGCCTCTTCGGGAGGATTTGCTTGTGCTAAGCTACAGCTGCCGGAGTTTGGAAGCGTAGATCGGTTGCCGTTGAAGAGGAAAATACTGTTTAAGGAAATACTTTGGCGAGTCACAGCTCCCTTTTTCGTTTCGTTTGTTTACTTGTGGTTCGACCTTTTTCCTCTGGATTTTTGTATTCCCATAACGGATCAGGCTAAGAGGTGCTTTAATATTTTTATGGTAAGTTCTTGCAAGGTGAATGTTTCCCACTGATTACGAATGTTGTTTTATTCCGTGATATATTTAGTGACGTACGTTTTTGAAACAGTGGCTACAAGTTTAGTATTTAAAAACAAATAAACAACCCCCTGTATCTGTGGTTGAAATAATATTGATACACATTTTCAGAAATGCTTGTAAAAGTCATGTTTAATTGTGGTCTTGGTTTTCACAACAACAACAAAAATGCGAAAACAAAACAAACCCAATAGGTTTGTGCTGCCTGGTTGTGAATTTAGATGTTGGTGGAGCTCAAACAATCCTAGTGTAAACAAAAATCTGTGTATAAGGCCGATTGTGATGCTTCTATCTGTGCGATATCTTTAGACGTTTAGAAAATGACTTTTAAAGGCAAAAGACTTTTAGGCTTCAGGTGAGTTACTTAGAAAAATTTGAAATATTTAACATCGCTTTGGCACAAGTAACACAAGTTATAATTTTGTCTGTAACCAAGCCAAGTTCTTATGGTATGTGTGAGTTCTAGTGAAAAAATGTATTCAATTAGTTTGCCCTGTTGCTACTTTTAAAAACTTCAGGCAAGGGTGTTCTACGAAATTGGTCTGATCCATATTTGGAATAGTAATACTTTTTGAAAGCATAAAGGCTGTTGAATAATGTGCCACAACTGTTTCCTATTGAATTCCTCCAGCGTAGAATCCCATTCATCCTGGAGGAGGAGGAACATTCTAGTTTAAGATCAGTAGATAAAGTTGATGTGCCATTTGGCATGTTAATTTAAATTTGTGTTTTCCTCCCTTGTATTTTGTAAAATATACATTACACAGTGCTATGGGGTGAGAAGCATTCCGGATCCAGACTTGATCAGTTATTACTTTGGTCACCAGTTGGATATTGGCTGCAGCCCAGAGTGCTGCTAGTCAAAACCGATTTTTCACAATGCTTCTATTGCCCTTGGTGACAGAAACTATCCATAACAAGATAACACTGCATTGTGAAAGAGTTTATCCTTAGAAAAATAACATTCCCCCCAGGGCTATTCCTAATGTTTGTTTGGTTTGTGCAGTGCATGTCAAGGCACAATGCATTTTTAATGTCTTTTCCGTAACAAAAGCAGGAACATGAGAGTTGCAGTTAGACATATTTTGTGCTGATGACAGAATAAAGTCAAACGTGAATTCATTTTTAAAAACTATTGGGCAATGGGTTTATAACATTTGTACAGTGGTATTATTAACAGAAGTGTGTTCTAGTAGCTAAAGCACAAAACTGGGTGGTGGGGGACCTGGCTTATATATTCTTGTTTCTGCCATTGATTTGTTGTGTGACCTTGGGCAACCTTTCTGTGTTCCCATTTCTCCATCTGCACTTCCCTACATCACAATGGTGCTAAAGCTTAATTTATTAATGCCTTTGAAGCACTTGAAGGTCTTCAGATGGATCGAACTGTAAGTACCTTTATACACTGTAGGTTTGTGAACTAAGAGCTGAACTTCTGCATTTAACTGTTTTAGGGGGATCCAGGAACAATAGTTTAGCAGCTCCCTAATGCATGTGTTTTCCTGACCTCCTTTCTTTGCAGACTTCACTTAAATTCATCTGATATCATCAGTCTTCTCGCTCAGTATTCCTCAGTCCTTTGGTGCAATACAGTGATTATAAGGTTCCCTTTTGGGAAATACATTTTATAATAGTCATGCTGAGATCACTTGCACAGAGGTGCCCAACTGAAGATACAGCACTAACTAAGAAATATACACTCGCTAGAGCAGACTAAAATTGCTAATTTTTGTTGAGGCTGTTATGACTGTCTTTTATGATTTCATAAGTTTCCTGTAGCATAAGAATTACTGAGTGATAGACCATCTCTCATGCTAGTCCAAATAAAGCAATTCAATAACTCATCAGACTTCAATGTTGCATTGTAAACTTAATGCAATAGGTTTTTCATGTACCAAAGATACCAAAACTGGAAAACTATTTCTGGCTTGTCTTCCTCCACAGACACTGCTTGTTCCACTTCTTTGTGTAGGTCACTAACACTCCATCCTCTCCCCTACAGGGGAGGAAAGTGTTATAATAGAGCTTGGTGCTGTTTCATGAGTTGTACAGGGTTGCATGTGATGGTTATCCTGATGATATGCTCTTGAATTTTACTGACCTTGTGACTAGCCCCTATGACTAATTTGTTTGTTCTCAGACTGTTGTAGTAATGCACTTGGTAGGGTTAAAATTAGAATGTGGGGTTCTGAGATGTGACTAGCCTTTCACTGTTACAAGACCTTGATCAGAATGATTAGCAACCTCATGTTAAAAACATTTCTACCAGATTCCTCTTGGCTTAAAATAAGGGCATGTTTTTACCAGGTTCAAGTCTTGTAAATCATAGTGTATTTTTAGCTGTCTCTTCTACTTAGCTTGCTTGGCTGCTCTCTACAGCAATGCTGACATCCTTCATTTACAATCCCTTTGCGCTATGGCAACATTGCTTCAGTGCAAATTTAAGAAAGCTTTCAAAGGAATTCCAAGAACTGTAAATTCCAGCTTAAACAATGGTAATGTAGATATGCTGTCTGTCTTAATAGAAAATAAATACAAGGGAAATATAAAGGTATTTCAGTTTTAACCAAGTTTCCCAAGATGGTACTTTGACATAAAGTTTAGTGGAACTTGCAAATCCTGGCTTCAGGCCAAAGAAAGGGTTACAACATGGAGCAGCAATGGCTGGTATTCTGTGGAGATGCCTTCTTTTATTGTGTGGTCTAAGACACGAACCTTAACTCATGTCTGTTGAATTGTAAAGGAGTCATGCTGACAAAACCCTCTTTAGATTGACAGTGCTAATTTAGATTTCTCTGGCTGAGCCACATAAATAAAGTATGCTACTAGAGTGTAATGGAAAGAAAAGATCAGGTATGTTGTACTATGTAAATATGTAGTGAGGCAGTTTTTTTTTTCTGGTTCCCATTATAAAAACTGTGTTTTAAGATTGGCCAGTTGGAACTAAATCAATATTGTCTTATCAAAATTTAATATAAAAGTGCTGTTTATACACACACACACACACACACACTTACTTACTTACTTACTTAAAAGTTTGCAATATTTCCATAGAATACCATACTTGAGGATTTATCATTTAAAATATAAACATTTGCTCTGGGTTAAAACTTGCCAGATAGGCAGGCATGCAGCAATTCTCCATAGATGACCCTATTTTGAGAGTTTAATGTACCCACACTAGGCACACCTATGTCATATATCATTTGAAAGGTTATTTCATGTATGTTCAGACTAAGTAGGATGTGGAAATGTCAAGTGGTGCCGTAAGCTTGCAGGTGAGGTTGAACAATGGTGCCCAAAACCAGTGTGATCTTTTTTATCATTCCAGAAACACAGCAGCATGACAATGACTACGTTTACCCTCTCATCAATCATTCACTTGAGCTCTTAGCATGCCATCCAGAGCATCATTTTGACCTGGGTCAGCCTGTACCAAGCTCACTGATCCACACGTTTTTACATTTTCTTTATCTGGTGGGCTGGGCCTCCCGGCTGATATTTTCCAAAGTTTGATGTTGAAACTTACACACACACAGAGCTTTTATTAATCATTGGAATGCAATTTCAGCACTTTCACCTTCTGTCTGATAAGAGAATCCTGCTTCCAGAATCCTCTAGCAAATTTAGACGTACCAATCCATACCAAACTCATGCTTACCACATTCATTCATATCAGCCACAGTAATTCATAATAATCTGGCACTGTCCCAACAGTAAGCGCATATTCGCAGAGATCATAATGATGAACAAGATGATAATGATGTTGACATTTCTAGGTATCATTGAAATGTGTTGGATTTTGTTATACTTCTAGATTGTTACGCTTTGAGGTCACACAAATCCAATTTCATGTCTTGACATAATACATTGTCATTAAACTAACAATGACCTCTTTGAAATATTTGTATTCACTTCTGATTATGGCATTTTTTTTTATTCTCTTCTCTGTGGGAATGGTACCACTTGAGAGCTCCACACCATACCTCATTTTAAAGTAGACATAATAAGTCTCAAATGATGTATGAGGGTACATTAAAGTTGGTCAAATAGCTGTCTGCCACTCGCCTAAGACTTGCAACTCATACACTTATTTTTCTTGTAATTTTGTTAACTATAAGTCCATGTCACACTATTTTCAACCCCACTCCCCACGATTTTTGGTGTTAAGCTTTCTCTTTAAAATTAATTTTATAGACTGTTGGTGCAAAGTACGGATTACTAAGCAGGCTATTGATGTCAGTTGATGTACACACTCTTATAGGAAAAGATGTTGTTACAGCCAGATGCTTTTTTCCCCTAGAAGCCACAGTATTCCTCTATAAAGTAGTTTTTTTTCTCTTTCTTTCAGATAGAGCAGGGGTGGGCAGACTATGGGCCACGTCTAGCCCATGGGACCTTTTAATCCAGCTTGGGTAGCAGGGTTGGGGGCTTTCTGCGTGGCTCCCGGAAGTAGCGGCATGTTCCCCCTCTGGCTCCTATGGGTAGGGAGGCCAGGGCCAGGGGGCTCTGCACGCAGTCCTTACCCCAGGCACCGCCCCTCACAGCTCCCATTGGCCAGGAACCTCCAATTTCATGAGCAGTCATGGCCTACCATACAATTTCTATTCACAAATATGGCCCACAGGCCAAGAAGTTTGCCCACCTCTGAGATAGAGCATAAAATGCGTCTTTCTTGCTAACTCTTTAATGTTTTTCTTTTGGAAGATTCAATCTTATTTCATATGGATTGTTGGTAAAATATGTTGACTGGATTCTACCATGCAGCCTGAGAACCAGCACCAGAACAGCTCTGGGTTCACAGCTTAACAAAAATGAATGATAGACGATCTCTCTGAGTTGAGGAAACTCCACCATTGCACTCTAAGGACTCTCGCTCGTCATCTGGAGATAGGGAGTGATGTACTCATTGGCTGGCCCTCTCACGGTGTAGGATTATAGGT